ACTTACCTTAATACAAAAATACTATAAAATATTTCTTTAAATCTGTATCCTATAAGCTTTATTTACCTAAATGTATTTTAATGTTTTGTTTAAAACTAAGACAAAAACACACATATTAATGTAGAGCCACACAGGGTCAGTATCACTATCTTCCACTTCCGTATCTTTTCCCACCGGAAGATCTTCAAAGACAGGTGCATAGAGCAGTCTGTCCCTTCCTATGATGACAATACTGTCTTACGGAATCCTTCCTGAAGGACCAGCCAAGGCTCTTATTCAAGAGGTGTCCCCCGCCGAAATATGCCCACAGCAGTTTGGTTTCTTTTTTGTCCCAGATAGCGCACCGTGCACATTCCTTGGAGCTGACTGAGGTCTGCAAAGTTACTGCCTTTCCCCCTTGTCCTTATACCTCATTAAAACATAGGTGGATTTTCCTGGGAAAGAAAGGAAATGTGCTGACTCCTAGGCACAAATGTAACAAATACATTCTTCAAAAGGAAGCCTTAAACAGTCTCCTTTATGAAAAGGATACTATTAGCAAACAGCTAGATACAGAGGTAATTTCAATGCAAGAAAAAGAAAACAATACCACAAAATAATAGATATGCTTCAGATTTTTCTGATAACTGACACTGATTAGTATTTATTAAACATTTACATGATTATAGTTCATTAAAATTTTTGTAAATATTAAGCACTGATAAGGTGAGAACATAATTTTAAAATGATAATGCAGTATCTGCAAAATTAAGTAATAGTCTTAAGATTCATGATTAACTTAATTCACACTTTTTTGTTTTATTCACAAAACAAACCTATGGCATATTTATAACAGACTGAATAACACCTTTTTTTTTTTTTTTTGAGAAGCTGCTAAGAGGGAAATAGCAAAGTGTTTTCAAGGTTCATCCATGTTACAGCATAACTAGAATTTCAGTCATTTTTGAAGCTGAATAATATTCCATTGAGAGGGGAGAGGTGAAGAGGCAAAGGGGTTGAAAAAATAATTAATATGCATATGTACACGTGCCAACTCTCCATGCTGAATGTAATCATTGCATACTGCTAACATGTACCAAGAAACAATTTAAATATGCCATTGCAGATGTATGCTATATTCTGTTTATCCACTCAGCTAGCCATGGTCACATGAATGTTTCTACCTTTTGGCTACTGTAAATAGTACTGCGATGAACACTGTACAAATATCTGTTCAAGTCCCTCCTTTTCGTTCTTGTAAGTACATAAATAAAAGCAGAACAGTTACATCACATGGCAATTCTGTATTTAGCTTTTGGAGGAACAGCCACATCGTTTTCCACTAGACTGTACCAGTTATATTCCCACCAGCAGTGCTCTAGGGTTCCGATTTCTCTACATCCAGGCCAGTGCTTCTTATTTATTTATTTTTATTTTTTTGGTACCGGGGATCAAACTCGTGTCCTTGCACTTGTGAGGCAGGCGGCGGCACCACTGAGCTAAATCCCCAGACTGTTATTTTGTTTTTTGATAATCATCAGCCTAATGGGTATGAAGTGGTATCTCACTTTCCTTAGCATTTCCCTAATGATTAGTGACAATACTTTTTAAAAAACAGTTTACATAAGTTATATAGGTGGCTGGTCTGAAGAACATATTTTTCATAAAATGCTGACTGGATATTAAGCATTCCCCACTACAGGGAAGAAAAAGTTATCTCAAAAAGTAGTTTTCAAGAGGAAACAATCTCAAAGAACTCCTGTGACGAAAGCTGTGACAACTGGAGCACCAAAGGTCATAGTGGTCCTGGATTATACCCCAAAGAAACAATGCCGCTGGGTCTCCATAAGGCACTAGCAAACAGTGAACTGCAATCAACTGATACAATCCAGGCTTCCAGTTTTCCTCTCTTTTATGGGATCTGAGCCTCATTCTTTTCACTGAAATTATTTATTCACAATGTATAGAATAGTAGATGCAGACTACCAAACAGTACATATAAAAAAGAAGTCCTAACCAAGATACATCATGTACAGGTACAAGATCCCAATGATGTATACAACTGTACCGTACACTTAAGATGACCAATAAACTCGATGGGGAAGAAGTCCCTGGGGCTAGTTCACTTCTTATATCAAGCACCTTTAATACGCCAATCCAGGGAATGTTTAATAAACCTTTTTCTCTATGACCGTTTTCCTTTTTTTGGAGGGATGGAGCAGTAAGCAGGCTCTTACAGTATTTTGTTTATAAGAACCTGTACTGCTTATGTATCTCATTTTGTTTAGGTATGTACTCCTCAAATTTCACATGTATATAAATTACCCAGAAATTTAAAAATAGATTCGGATTCAGATGCAGTAGCTCTTTTGTCGGTGAAGCGCATGCTTGGTCTGAAGAATACACTGTGTGCAAGGACACGTATCGGTCTATTGTGCTTGATGTTTTAGCTCCTTGAGAGCAGGGACCACACATACTTCTGTTACTCGGACTCTTCAGGAGGAGTTCAAACACTCCACTTTGAATAAGTGAATGAAATGACAATGTTACATGTACTCAACTTTTTTTTTTAGTGTTTCACCTGTGAATCTAAGTGGAGAGTTCAATGTGCCCAGAGCTAGTATAAATGATCCTTTGTGTAAGACCCTTAATTCCTTTCTGACTCCTCTTTTCTATTGTTTTACCTCAAGAAATCCTCACTTCACTTATGGGGGAAAAAAAAACCCTGAACTTTGAACTTAATACCAACTGGGTCACTCCCATCAGTATATAACAACATTCAAAACACAAAAAGGTCTGCTCGTCCTCACATCCCCAGCCTCCCATTCCCTGCCTTTCAGACAGATTCTCCACAGAGCTCTCTGCAGTCACTTGCTTCCTTCGGTCCCTAGGACCCATCGTCCATGTCTGCCCCCTGCCTGTGCATCTGACCTCTTGGCAGCAGAGCAGAGTTGACCTCTCTTTCCCTCCCCTTTGTTTTTCTTCTTTCCTTCCTCCTTCCTTTGTTCTTTTTCACATTTTTTTAAATAAGAAGTTCTCCTTGGGCTGGGGATTTAGCTCAGTGGTTCCGCCGCCTGCCTCGCAAGCACAAGGTCCTGAGTTTGATCCCCAGTACAAAAAAAAATAATAATAATAAGGTCTCCCTAGGTAGTCCAGGCTTGCCTTCTGGCCTTGAACTCACAATCCTGCCTCAGCCTCCTAAAAGCTGGGATTACAGTGTGAGCCACCACAACCAGCCTTGAAACTGACTTCTAAGACACCTTTCTGCATCTAACTTCTACCAGTAAGTCACCACTGTCTCTCCTAATGGTCCACTTCAATGGATACTCTTAGTTTTCCTTCTCTCTTTATGAAGAATTGGAGTTCTCCAAAACTCAGCCCTTCGTAATCTCCATCCAGTGAACTCCTTCCCTAAGGGATACAGCTCATGGCTTTGCCAGCTAACTGATAATTCCCTATTTTTTAGCCCAAATCGGACACTCTCCCTTTAATGCAGATACCCAACCTCCTACGCAGTATGTCCACTTGAATGGCTTCACTCCTTCCAATACCGCAATGACACTGAACTCGTGGGCCCTATCCCAACTTCTAACTCTCAACAGGAACTCCATTCAGTTAGCGCCGGCCAAAACTGGACCAGTCTTTTCATTCGTCCCCACACATTCCACCACTCTACTTGTTTTACCCAAAAGATCTCCCCATTTTGACCCCTTGTAATCATCTACATACACTGTAGGTACAGTGTCTCTACTAACACTAATCGTGTGTGACTACCTCACTACCTCCCACCTCTACAAGAGTCACTCTGGGGCCAGGGATTTAGCTCAGTGGTTCTGCCCCCTGCCTCAAAAGCACAAGGACCAAAGTCTGATCCTTGGTACAAAAAAAAAAAAGTCACTCTGCTTCATTCTTACTCCTTTCTTCACAAAGGATTAAGAATTAAATACATGACCACTCTATCTCCAAACTTCTATCAATCTTCTATGCCCTCTACCTTTACTATTTTTTGATGTTTCTTACACCCACTAGGATGCTCTCATCACGTGTTCTGCAAGGTTTGCTCCTTCTGAACACTTTGGTCTCTCCAGTCACCTCCTCAGGTCAGCCCTCACTATTTTTAAAAGAGCACCTTTTCTTTGTCTCTCAGAACCTCTTTACCCAATCTGCTTTATTTTCTTTACTCCATTTAGTCCTATCTGAACCACAATATTTCTTTGTTTGTCAGCTTTCTCCTACTAGAATTTAAACTCCATGAAAATAAGAGGCTTTTTCTTATCACCTGCTAACTTTGGTATTGGGAATACTTTGTGGTATTTTGGTTGGTTGGCTGAATTAAGTAAGACCCAAAACACATTAAATAGATTTATAATTAAAGTCAATTCAAAATTTTAAGAAATTAAAGTTCAAAAGTTTGATATGAAAGTAGACAATACAAAAAACCATTGCCATGAATCTCAAAACTCCTCATACACACACAAAAATTCCCACAGACACTGAACAAAGTAGGCATTTCTACAAGTAAATCTATTTTTTTCTTAACTATCAACAAGTTTGGGAAAAAATACTCATTTTTATAATTTCTCTTAATTACTAGTATCATTTTCTACCATTTTCCTATCTGATAAATATTCAGTTTTTCTGTAGGAAGGTCAACTATGTGCGCTTTGCAGAGCTAGCCTGAGAGCTAACAAGGAGGTCTGATGTTGAGCTGTTGCCCAAAGATGCAAACATCTCCTTTCCCAAGAAACTCACGCCCTGATAACCAGGCTCTTAACAGGAAATACTGGAATCTCCCCATTTTCCATTAACTAAAGGGTTAACACCTGACAAACCAAGGTACCTGTTCAGACCTGACTGCTAATACCTAAGTCATTAGATATTTTGAATATCAACCCTGTCTGTATCACCATATAAAACTGCATTTATGAAAAATTCGGGGGTGGAAGAAGGCAACATGAAATGATTTTAAACCACCAACTTAAATCTTTTTTTCTGTAAATTCTTTCTGTTCCTTTTTCTAGATTTCCAACTTAAGATGATTTGTCATTTTTCCTCCATTTTGGACCAGCCATCCTGATCTGACGCGGCACTAGTACCACTTGAGCAAAATAATTTGCTTTTGCTGAGCTGTCCTGTGTATTGTTGGATGTGGCCACTAACCACTAGACGCTAAGTATCTTCTCCTAGTTGTGACAACAGAAATTTCTCCAGACATTGCCAAATGTCTCTTGGGGGTCCAAACTGCAGCTCACTGGGACCCAATGATCTCAAATATACCTTTCTGTATATCTTTACACTCTGCCATGTGCCTGGGTTCCTTGCCCTACTATAAATTTCACAGATAAAAATAAAACCCATAGGGCTGGAGATGTAGCTCAATGGCACTGTGCCTGTCTGGCAAGCGCAAGGTCCAGAGTTTGATACCTGGTACTGCAAAAAAATAAAAATAAAACTCCTAACACTCTGGCCTAGCCTAGCAGAGCAACTCCTCTCTAAAGCTTCATGTGTATTCTCCTACACCAGTGCCTTCATTGTGTTTTCACAAGAATTCACATTTTATTTATATCCCAGTGTTTAAAACAGCTGTGTATATCTACACCTTACATATCAACTAACACAAAGTAATCACACATTTTTGTTTTTGTTTTTGGTACCGGGGATCCAACTCGGGACCTTGGGCTTGCGAGGCAGGCACCGGTAATCACACATTTTTGAAGAGATATTTAAATTTGAAATAATTTTTTTTAAAAATCAAAATATGCTTCTACAGAAGTCAGAAAACTTCAAATAAAATTTCTTTAAACGTCAAATTTAAATATACTTGGAAATTTAATTATAAAAAGTCTCTTCAAAGTATGCATTCAAGAGAAACTTTATACCACTCACATCTTCAAATTAAAGTTTAAATTGAAAATGACAACTTATTTCCAAGTATCAAAGTGCTACAAACATTAACTTCAGAACTTTTATGAGGTCGTATTACTTCTTTGGTAAAATGTTAACTCTTAAAAAAGTGGCTAACTGGGCATGGGGCACACACTTGTAATCCCAGGACTTGGGAGGCTGAGGCAGAACATCAAGAGTTGGAGGCTAGCTAGGCAATTTAACAATCTCTCTTGTTCTCACTCTCCTCCCCAAAAGAAATATATACATACATAAAATAAATACAAAGCCAGGCAAACTAGCCTGTAATCCCAACTATGCGGGAGACTGAGGCAGGAGGATCACAAATGCAAGGCCTGGGCCACATAGCAGGCGCTCACTATTTGAAGGGGGCTGGGATTGCAGTTTGAGTTCCAGGGACAGCACTGGCCTAGCATGCAAGAGGTCCTAGGGCTCAAGCCCCAGCACATACCCCCGAGGGGCTCTAAGGATAAACAAAGATCACAAAAAATTCAGTTACTACAGAAATATTTTAATTACTGCAATGAAAACTTTTTGAAAACAGGATCTAACCAAAAATTAGCTTTTAAAAAAATTATGATACTTTATTTTGACATTTCTGCTTACAACTGAAACTCGGGGAACTCAAAATTAACATCCTGGCCCATAAGCTGCTCAAAGACAGGAGAGAACATTTCAGCCTTGTGCACGGCACCAATCGGCTGGCCTCGTCCAGGGGCCTGCACGAGCCCACCGCCATCCAGCTCCACGGGGATCCTCTCGCCTGTGATCTGGCCAGGGAAGACCAGGTCCTCCAGGACTGCACAGCTTCGGGACACTTTTGCTTATTTTTCATGCGGCTTTTTCCAGCTGGCTTAGGCAGAATTCTCTGCGCAATGAAGACCACATGCTTCCCTCCGAACTTCTACAGCTTGCGCACTGCTGGACCTGGATTTTCTGGGAAGACTTCAGCTGAGGAACTGGGACAAGAATTATGACAGTTTTCCGACCTCCACCAACTTCAGCTTCCTTGGCCACCGTGATGTTGAGTTGCGCAGCTTCCTTGAAGTCCAAGTTCAGTTCAGCTCAGCTCCAGCAGCGCCTGGAGACTCCGGACTCAACTTGTCCTGCTCCTCAGCACTGGGCTTCGCGCGAGCTGAACTTGGCCAGACCTTTGCGGACTGCTGGCTTAGGAAGAGCGAGAGGGACACTACTTTCCTCATTATACAGAGAGAAATTAAAGGAATACCCGGGCCATTCATTTATGTGTGAACAAGTTAAGATCTGAATTAAAACGCTGCGTCTATAATTAGCAGCAACAGCAACAAGACTCTGAGCAGGAATTTTAATTCCCGTTTCCTTACTCTATAAATTGGGGGATAAACACCTGCATATAGCATAACAAAGATTAAACTAATGAAGCAAATGTTACATAACTTTAAGTGATTATTACTAAATGTGCACGAATACACCCATAATATTTTAAGTAACACCACTGTGAGTGACGTGATCGAATTTGTCATAAACTCTCATTTTCTCTTCTGTCCTCTTCTCACCCTCCCTTTCCCTCTCCCGCTTCCCCTCCGACACACACACAAAGAATAAGGTTTTTCAGGAATATCACAGCAATTAAGTGGTCACCTAGCAATGTTTATTTCAGACAGTTTTAATGCAATGACCCAGGGTTTTTGTTACTGCGCTACTTGTCACTGCAACCTTTCGTTTTGTTTTCGATTTGAGACAGGGTCTCACTATATATTTCAGGCTGGCCTTGAACTCACAGTAATCCTCCTGCCTCAGCTTCCCAAGTGCTGGGACTATAGGTGTGCACCACCACACCCAGCTCTGCAACCTTTTTTAAATTAAGGAAAAAATCTAGTTTTGACTAATTCTTATTCCTTTTGTGGTTTTATGAAGATAATTCTCCTGTGTTTACTAATTGTGGAAAATTTCCGTATTCTTTCTCTCTAGGATGCTCACTTCCTTTTGCACGGGAGGGGTCAGGGATTGGGATCAAACTCAGGTCCTTGAGCTTGTAAGGCAGGTGTGTCTCACTCCCTTTTGAGGAATTCTCTTTCTCCTCTATGCAATCCTGGGAAAAGAGGAATTTCTGGTGACCACCACCCACTGTAAAAGCCACAAGGTCAGATCCCACCTAGACCAGTAGGGCCAGGGGGTAGACAGACCGTCTTCGTCTTCCCTAAAGCATGAACAGTAATCCAAAGGCAGGACTGGTCGAAAGCTTGCCATGGCAGAAGTGAGGCTCCAACAGTCTTTCTCCGGCAGAGGCCTGGTACCCTGAGCCCAGAAACTCTGAACAGAGCTCCCTCCTCTCTTGCTACCCCTTCTGCCGGGGCTGTTCTTCTCTTCCAGGACCCTCTGAACAGAGCTTCCAACAAATACCTTCTATGACTAGATCCTTCTACTTGCAACCAAGAACTGCAACTGCCATGTTAACGAAGCGAAAGAGAAGTCTGTCTTTTCAAATCTGGGAATAAACTGGTAAGGAGAGCAGGTAAGTTTCTTTCTCATGCTGACACCTCAGGGTTATAAGAAAATATTAATTAAAGTTTCTAATCATTGTGGTATACCAACAATTATTACCTTAAATAAATACCTGAAAGTATCAGGTGATTATAGATATTAAGGATAAGATTGTATAATTAAGTATCTACATCTGCTGAACTGCTAAAACAAAATACGAAAAAAAGAAAAAGCAAACTCAAAATGTCTATCTTTAATCTGTTAAACTGGAGATAGATCTTTTCCCAAAACTTAAGGAAGAATGGGTCCTTTAATTGGGATCCTTAATCATGCCATTAATATTACAGCAGTTCTGTAGCTTCCTTAAGAACACAATGTATCTCTCATGGCCTGGCACTCAAAACGACAGTAAATTTAGTAAAATATTAAAAAAATGAAACTTTCTGGAAAATGTCATAGTTTATACTTTGTAAGTGAAAGCTTTTCAAGTATATTAAGCAATGAAAATGTAACAAATGTAACCTAAAGAAAAATATTGGTTGCCCCTGACTCAATCACCTAGGTTTAAATCAAATATGCTCCAATTTATAAAATAACTATTTTCTATTTCTGTTACATATTCCTAAGATCCACAATCATCCACGTGGTTAACTCTTTTTTTTTTTTTTTTTTGTACTGGGGATTGAACTTAGGACCTTGTGCTTGCACAGGTGTGGTGCCACTGAGCTAAATCCCCGGCTCTATATGGTTAACTCTGAAACTGTGGTAGCAAACGGAATACTGAAATGGGAGGCACGTCTGTGCACTCTCTAGCAATGCACTGGCAACCCAAATTACTTTCACTTCCACTAAGACAGGACAGCGCCAGAGTCTGACATTAAGGTGGTAAGTTAATGTTTCTTACTGCAATGCCACTGCCAAGAATATGCAGTTTTTCTCAGGGATTCCTATTTTCACATTCAGAAATAGTCATGTTCAGTTGGTAGGTTTTTACTTAATCAAGATCATTTAACACAATATCTAATTGTTTGTTTTTTGGTACTGGGCATCAAACTTAGGACCTTGTACTTGTGAGGCAGGAGATGGAACTACTGAGCTAAATCCCCAGCCCCAACACAATTATCTAATTTACTAAGAAGTCAGAGGAGAGCTGGGAGTATATATAGCTCAGTGGTAGTGTGCTTGCCTGGTACATACAAGGCTCTGGGCTAAATCCCCAGAACTGAAAAAAAAAAAAAA